GGGAAAGGATGCAAAGTATTAGATATTGGTAGATACACACAGAGATACAGGTGGGAGACATACTGGACGCTTTGGCCTTATCTCATTTCTCCCACACTTGTTTATGGGAAGGAGAAGCCCACAGGATGTAAACAGGGCTGGGCCCGCACTGAGCGAAGAAAGGTGCGCCCTGGCCGTTAGCACGCGTGGAAGGCTCGTTCGGCAAACGGCGCGTGAGCTCTGGCAACGTGGGTGCCTTAGACCTGCGCTGTGGGAGGACAGAAGCGGAATTGAAAACTGCCATGTGAATTTCTGCCTGTGGTTGGGGATTTGTGGGTAGGTTCCTGATCATTCCCTGATCCTACTGTTTGGTAAACCGGCCAATTTTAAAAGGAGAAAGTAGTGGAAAATCTGTCGGTGAACCCTGACAGCAATGCAGCGCTAGTGGGAGTGATTTATTACTTGCGTTTTGTATCTTCTTTAGCGTCTGAAGTGTCTCTTGAGTATTTTCCACTCTGCTTTAATTATGGGGTTCATTAACTTATTTATTTTGAATCCTCAGGTATGAGCCGGAAGACTGACATACCAGAACCATCTGATCTGACCAGAAGCTGCCATAGAAAGAAAATGTAAACTGGTATTATTTTTCAGTAACTGGCTTTGAATGGTGTATTTTTTTGCTTCTAGTGCTTAAAATAACTTTTTATTAATGCTAATGACACACTGAAACTCTTACCTTACTTCCTTGTAAACCTACAATTTATAGGTATTAGTTTCTGTAGTCACGTTTTTACTTGTTAAGCATCGACGTTCCTCGAGAAACAGCGAACAGGAGCTTATTGAAGAACTGGGATCGTTCTCTGCAAAGACAGGAGTTTATTTTTGTTAAGAAAAGGAAAAAAAAAAGGAAAAAAAAGGATTAGATTTTTTGGATGTCTCTAAGGTGGAAACTCCAATTGTTAGATTTGTATAGCCTGTGTAGCCATGAAGTGGCATTATATGTGAAAAACCCACCAGTGGAAGTGAAGGTAGGAGGAATCAAATGGAACACACTGATTCTGTATGACTTGTCTGGCATGAAAGGACATTACTGCAGCTGAAGGAGGGCAGGAGCGGGTTGCTCGAGGGTGTCCGTTAGAGAGTGAGGCACACAGGCTCTGCGGCGGGAGCGCTGGGCCCTTTCAAAGACGGGCGCTAACTGAAGTGACGCTTTCTCACTCCAACTTCTTTGCAACAAAGTTGGACATCAGAAGACAGAGTCTTCACGTTAAGGTGGTAATCTGAAAACAGGTGGGGAAGCTGCCAGCGAGGCAACTTTCTTGGGAACAAAGTTGTTTTAGATGTTTTCATCTCCTTTCTCAATGCAACCTTGCCAGAAACCAACTTGCTTCTCTCCAGTCTTGTGCTTGTAATCCTCTGCCTTGCCTTTATCTGGCAGGCTCTTAGTAGTAGTGTGTTCTACTCGTCCGTCTGTCCCTGTTCGAGTGTGTATTTGTATTTTACTCCAAATAAAGCCATTATGTTCCATCCCCAAAGCTACCCGCCTCCGAGGTGCGACCGCCCCTCACTGAGCTCGCCCTCTGAATTTTCTTAACCTCTACCTTTAAAAGTGAAGCGAGAGGATTTGACACCAATCAAAGGTAAAGGGGCGTGTGACTGGAGTCACTCGAGCTCCACCTTGAAGATTAGAAAATAATATAAGAACAGCTCAAGAAAAGGGGGATGTTGGGGAAGACGCCATCGCAGATTGCCTCCGACTCCTGGGGTCAGTCGACAGGCTGAGCCTCTCTTCCCTCCCCGCAGGGACGCCTTGGGTGAGATTTAAACTCTTATTTTCCTAAGAAACTTAAAATCTCCGTATAGCGTTGTTGCAGGCTGCCGCATCACTCGAGCCGTTTTACGTCGCTGGATTCTGGGCGCTGCGTTACCCACAGTCGCAGTGCTTGCACGTGCTTGGCGCACGGCGCGCTCTCTCCGGCAGTCCATCAGGGCCCGTGTTTGCCGCTTTAGCTGCGCTGTAGGCAGCCAGACGCAGAGGCCTCTTACCGGGCGCCGCCAGCTCTTTGCTGGCGCCGTGATACCCTGGGGTGCGACTAGACGGGAGTGCAGCGAGCTGTCAGTGAATCCGGAATCGTGATGGTTCAGTCGCGCTGAACGCGGCCGGAATAACGGTGCCGAGTTGGACATCGCTCGGAATCCAAACCAGCCCCTCTGACATCTGAGGCCAAGCTGGAACGCGGAGGGGGGGTGTGTTATTTTCTGCCAAATTACTTTGCCCTTTCAGGTGACAGTTAACTTCATGGAAGGTATTATTGTGCCCCTTGTACAGTCACTAATATGTTGAGTTCTTAATGGGGATGTACCAAAGGGCTTTGTGACCTCTGCTCTGAGCAATTACGTTGATGCCGACAGGAGTACTTGTCTGGGTGAGTGTGGCATTTTAATTCGTGATAAAATGCATTTTAACGAGGTCAGTTACTATGTCATAGAATCACAGAATGGTTTGGGTTGGAAGGGACCTTAGAGATCATCTAGTTCCACGCCCCCTGCCATGGGGGATATTTCTACAATTGGCAGGTAAAGGGTGAAGAAAGGCAAAGAATCTTCTGACTTCTCCTGGGCTTTTCTGATAAATCTTTGGCTGTTAACTTAGCTGGAATATTGACTCCCGGATAGGCCTTCATGATCTTCTTGGAAACCATCTCAACAAGGAAGCACGCTGCCGAGTGCAGTACGTGGGTGGGTCTCCGTGTGAGAAGCTGGACACGGGCAAGCGTGGTTACCTGCTCAAACGGGCACGGCAAACCTTGTACAGACCCGTGGGGCGCAGAACCGACACACTGCCTTTGATTACCTGCCTGGCAGTTTGCCAGTTGCCCGAGTGCCGTCCTCGGTTTGTGCTGCTCAAGGGCCAAGTGAAGCTCTTGCGTGGAGCGCTTGGGGAAAAGCACATCATCTCTCGGACCCAGAGCATTATACAGTAGCTGTTCCCTTTGTTGAGATAGGTACAGTGTTTTGGAGACGACGTCTGAACCTCCCGTCTCTAAAACTTCACTTCTTTCCCTGAGGTGTAAATTCTAATACTGTTTTTACCAGGAAGTTCGTTATACTGCGCAAATAGGCATATTTCTTCCAATTCTGCTGTTAATTCCCTAGTTATGCCTGAAGGGAACGTTTAAAAAGAAAATTTCTCTGTAACTGGCTGACCTGCAGGAGCCAAATCTCTTTCAAGCTGTGTGAGGGTTTATTTGCCTGCAGGCTGAGGAATGCTTTCTGTGGGGATGAAATCTAGGCGGCTAAGCTTGGCTGCTGTTGGCTCTGACAGCTAACAAACAACCTTGTGCCCCGAGTGTGACTCGAGTCCAGCGGTTGGTCGCTAATAAATGAGCCGGCAGTGCTGCCCGCTACGGTCTTAATGAGACCGTGTCCTGCCCCAGGTGCTTGAACTCTTCCTGAAGTACTCCTGACTTTGTGTTTCTCTTGCGGATAATAGCCATTCTTTTTAAACGTCCCAAGCTGAATGCTAATGCATTTTAACACTTAAAGTGCAAGTGCTGGTCGTTTGTTGACGGACTGATGTAGGGACGGCTGCGATGTGGACACTTCTCACATACCTTGCTTCTGGGAAACCCGCAGCCATCTGCCAGGCACTTAGATTGCAGTCCAGCCAAAAGGTTCTTAGGGTTTCTGAGCTTGATTTCCCTCTTCTGGCATTATCAAGGACGGCTCTTGGCTTCTGCACGATACCAAATGCCGTCAGACCACAGGGAAGTGATTCTTAACTGCCTCAGGAAACAAACGTGAACCGTCTGGGGGCATCAGGTGGCTGAATGGATCAAGCTCAAAAAGCTTGATCCGTTCCAGGACGATGTGCCTTTTAACACTTATTTTGGAAACAATTTAATGTGACTTGAAGGTGAGTTTGTATGTGAGCAGGTAACGATTGTTATTGTAAATTATCCTAACTGGCTTTGAGCGGAGAGTATGCCATGGGATTTTCCCCGTGACTGTTAATTTTGACAGTGAAAGCATTGGCCCAGGACTCCTGCCTGGCTCTGGCTGCCTACAGACCTCCCCTGAAGGCACCTAGATGTGCCCTCCTTACCAGAGCGTCCTCTCAGACGTACCCTGAAACCTTCAGCAGCCCATTTGGAGCCAACTCTTCTCCCCTGACAGGTGGGTAGACCCATGCCATTCTGTTTCAGCAGTCTGAAGATCTGGAGACTTTCCTCTTTAAAATACTGTCTGCTTATTATGTTTGGGAGCCTGTTAACGTAGTGTCTTGGCGTGTGGGTTGTAAGTGGTGGTGGTGCTGAGTGGGTGGTGCAGGACTCTGACCGGGCAGCTCACGGTTGACAGTGCTGGTGAACAAGAGAGCTTTGACAGAGGGGCAGCAGGAACTGGCAGGAGACAAGCAGGACTGACTGAATAGGCCAGGTAACCTCTTTTTGGTTTAGTGAGGTGCCGCTTTGTGGCGCTCTTGTTTTACACAGGCCGGTTCCGAGGTCTGGGTGGATTGGTTGCAGTCCTGTGAATGGGAACTGCACTGAGTGCGCCTTCCCAGAGGGAGTACCCTAAGAAACCACACAGTCAGAAGATGGACAGACCTGTGGTGCTAAAGAAAAACAAGGAAAATAGAAAGAGGGACTCTTCTCAGGCATGCTTTTCCTGGGAGGCTGAGGTAATGCAGAACAGTTTCAAGGGTGACGAGGAGGCTGGATATGTCTTCAGGGTACAGAGTGTAAGGGCATCACCTACAGTTTGCTACAGCGGTACTGATGAGCTGGAAGGAATAATTGGAATCCTAACGACCGCTCAGAAGCGTAACCATAACCTCCAGTCCCACGTAGAGCAATTGCCCAACAGTTGTCGTGGCCTATGAATTGGCAAAGATCTGGAAATCCAGCGGGATTCTTTCTTTCTCCTGAAGTAAGGAACCACGGACCTTTGTGTAGCAACTGTGAACAGTGAATCCAAACAGCAAACGTGGGAGCTGCTACTCTCTTGGCTGTGTATCTGCTTCCCTTGGTAGCATCGCTCGAGATCTGCAGCGGCTGTAGAGACTCTTCCATCGCTTCCCTTTCATAATCAACTAATACACTCACAGCCAGCATGTTTCCATCTGGAAATGAGTGCTTCCAGGAATGGCAGACACTGAACACCAGCGCTAGCCCCTGTGGCCACTGTGTCCCCCTCCCACATGTCTGGCTCATCAAGAAAAGCCCAGAGGGTTTAGTTTCAACTCTAAGTCCCACATGTTGGATGTAGCGTAATGAAGTCTGGGCTACCTGGTAGAATTATCCAGGACTTGTCGACACCAGACTTCTGCTGCTCCATATTATTCCTTCCTCTCTCGTTTCCAACTCTTTCACCAATAGAACTGTGAAGCTTCTCTCATGCCCTCGAACTGTGGTCCCCAACCTGTTGCTAGGACCCCAGGCTGCCTTTGTGTTTGTGCTTCAAGCAGCTGGGGAAGGTGCTGCCTTCTTACTGTACTGGCACCAGGAGACGCAAGCCCAGGATTTTAGTTGGTACCTTCCCCTCCCAGCTTTGCTTCCGTGAGAAATGGGATCCTCTGCTTTGTTTACCAGCTTCTGATTATGTTTACCTAGGGCAGTTCCATGCTGTCCCGTCAGTCCCTGGCCTTCTGTGGAGATGAACCCCTACCCTTCTCACCACTCCCCCAAGCCCCACACTCCAATTTGTTAGGTACTGGGGGAAAAATTTCTTTCTAATCCTTCTTTAACACAAGCAGCGATATGATCAAAAGTTCTTTCATGGGTCTATTAGAGGCTTATCTTTGTCCCTGTAAGGCCCAAGCCTTCC